AATTCAAGCACCAAAGGGGTTGTCTGTTTTTTGAAACAATTTTGAAACGAATAACATTTTTAAAACAAAATAGTTTTTCAACTAAAATTTGGTCTTGCACGCCCTTTCCCTGTAAAAAAGACTAAAAATTTTAACTTGCACACCTTGGGGAAGTCACTTTAATTGAATTTTTATTTTGAAAATAACACCCAAAATTTTACAAGTTATTTATTTTTAAACCAAAAACAACTTAAAATATTTTTTTTTATTATAATAAAAACACTAAAAATAGTTAAATTTAATAAAATATATTATCATATTCACTACAATTTTCTGAAATGTTGTTTTTTGAAAAAATGTTTTTGAATTATTTTAACATTCTGTTTTATTTATAATTTATTTAAAATTTAAATATTTATTATTATCCCACAAATGTGTAACATTCAAATATTTTATCATACGATATTATAATTATGATATTTATATTTAATAAATAAACCATAAATTTCATTAACAGAAAAACCCAGCATTTTTAGAAACTACACACGAAACTTGAAAAGCACAACGCAAAGTCATGTTTTTACTCTTGTCAATCTCATTTGTGATTAACGCGTTGGAATGTTTGCCCTATTCCACGACCTGTGAAGGGGGATATACGAACAATGCGATCAAAGTTGATGTGACCCAGTGCAGCACCATTCGCGTCTACGACGAGTTTACTTTGACAAATGCGTGTGTACTCCGTTTTTCTCCACATACCAAGTTTATAGTATCACGTGGTGCTTATATTGAATTAACCTTTGACCCACAAGTAGTAATGTACATTGACGAATTTATGATGGAAGATTACTGTTCCGTTACTTTTAAAGGCCTTTTCAATGTCTTTTCATTCCGCACGATCACTCTTGGTCTTCACCCCAAATTCTCTTTTTATGACTACCAGACGTACTCTAACATCACAATAACTCTTCCCAAAGGTCTCTCGTTGAATTACGCCAACGGCGCGACATTCATGAACTCAAATATTCTCAACGAAGCCATCAAATTCACCGTGACGGGTACATTGACTTTTGTCAACTCGACATTTTCTAACACCGTATTTCTCGATTTAGCCGCGACGACGCTTATCTTCGAAGACTCGATATACGACTTTAGGAATGAATTAGAGTCGTACTACGATGAGCCCAAAGTGTCTGCGAACGATCTAATTTTCACGGGGCACTCGACGGGAGAGATTTTAAGTCGTGTGTCTTATAATGTCAACAACATCACGTTATATGGCACTTCCGAACTTCTTTATGACAAAGAAGACACTAGCAACGATTTGAGCTTCAATTTGTTACTCACTGATAACTCCATCTTTCACATCCATAGAGAATACCAAGTCGGAACATCGTCGCTCACTATTAAAGGAAACTCAACGCTTTACATCTACAAAGAATCGGTCTTGTCTTTAGGCGTTGCCGTATTAAATTCAGATCTTTGCATTAAGGAACACTCGCGAGTGTATGTGTTAGGTACTATCCAGTCTTTTAAATCAGTGTTCATTCAAGATAGTGCGTCTCTCTATATGGATGGAACACTGAAGAGCGGGTTTTACCCTGACAAAGTGAATATTACAATGAGTGGGGAGGCGTATTTAGAGGTTGGAGGGAATGTGCAGTTATTAGTCGAACAAATGGTGATGTACGATACATCAAAAACCGTGTTTAAAGATAACATGCAGGTCTTAGTCTACTTATTTTCATTGCTGGATCAGTACTCGGGAATGGTACTGTCTCTCTACGACCACGCATCACTCTCGTTTAATGTGTATGATGAAAATCATAGTGTGGATGGGATTTACTCGACTTTTATGTACAATGACTCGAAAATTGTATTCCATGGGAACAACCACGGCTTTTTATATCAAGTTGAAATGAACGACAACGCGAGGGTGGAGACTAATGACTTAATAGATGTCACTTTAACTCATGTAATAATGAACGATAATACAGTCATTACTATAACAGATAACTCGAGAGTGATTCTTGCGAATATTAAGACGTCTTTTGACTCAAAAATCGTGTTCAGAGGGAATGGGAAAATGACGTTGAGATGTTCAACAGGGGAGTGGGATGATGAGTGTTGGTTTGAAGAAAGCGTCTTACAATTCAATGGATTTCCCTTCGACTTTACTAACACCTCATTGTTGGGGACTCCATTTGACTTATACCAAACTGATCTGCGATTCAACGACACAACTTTAGAGAATACAATGCTGCCATCAGACCGATGTATTGGCTTGTTTTCAATTGGTGATGATGCAATTATCCCACCATTCACCAACCCACACATCTTCAAATTGTTTGATGGCCATTTGGTGAAGTATTGCCCCGAAGGCATCGATCATATAACAGAAAAGACGTACTGCACAATGATCTATAAGGACTGGAACAACGCACACACCTTCGAGAGATACTACCCCTTCGACCAAGCACATTGCCCGTATGACAACGTCGAAATTGTCACTTCCCTGAAACAAGTGGTGATTGGGAATTATCAAGTGTTGGCCAAATTCCTAAATGAAACAAATGTCTTCTTTCAAAAGGTCACGACAAAGCAACAGAAGGTCTCTGGCCTCTTGCGAGAAGTGACGTTTCCCTCGCAAATCGTTCTGAAAAGCTCGTGTGCTACGATCGACAGTGTTATTGTGGAATTGCTTCCAAATGGGACATACAATTATACATCGACGTGTAAACAATATTATAGAACACCACAAACTATCGAACGTGGGTATCTGATTGTCGACGACGTCACTTTTGTGATCAATACCGATTTCGGAATATCCGTCTATATTTTAGACCAATTAAAACCGTCGACAGTCTCAACAAGTCTTGTCACAGGTGTTCTTGTTATTGGGAAAATCGGGTTCTACGTCGACGACGAGTTGTGTAAATATGGTCGTGTCACAGCGACATCTACTGTATGTCACAAGTACGATGTGATGCAGTGCGACGACGGGTATTATGCGAATGGGTTTATCTGCACGAAATGTTCTGATACGAAATGTTTAGTGTGCACCAGCTTGCAATGTGTGTTATGTGCGAATGACTACATTTTAAATGGGAGTGTGTGTATTAAGAAACCAACTGGGTGTAAGGTGGCACGAAACAACTATTGTTTTCTCTGTCAAGATGGGTACTCTCAAGTTGGGAGAGATTGCTTAACAACATCGCCTCTTGCGAATTGTATGGAGAGTCGGAACAACATGTGTTTGAAGTGTAATAATACATTGATGGTAGTTAAAGATGGTGTTTGTGTCTTATATGAAGGTGCGTATTTTACGACTACCATATCAGTAGTCACGTGTAATTCTGGGTATTACACGTTAAATGGGATATGCTATCAGTGTACTACTCGACACCCACACTGTTTGCGATGTGATTACACGTCTTGTTATGTGTGTGAGAATGGGTATGAAATTCAGAGTGGTGCGCAGTGTTTAAGCCAGAGTTGTCAGACGTACAGTTCGATTGGCATCTGTTTGAAGTGTAAAGAAGGGTATATCCTCGACGAGTCGAAGAAATGTGAGTCTCGAATCGACTACTGTTCATTACAGTCGTCGTCCACGTGTTATCTCTGTTTAGACGGGTACTTCCTTTCAAATGGCATTTGTGTCTCGATCATTGCGAATTGTTTAACAAATAGTAACACGGGGTGTGTCCGGTGTCGGCCGGGGTATTACCTGAATTCGTTGAAATTATGTGAAAAGTGCCAGTCGAATTGTTTGACGTGTGGGACGTCCCCTTCGAATTGTCTTTCGTGTTATGAGGATGCCTTTCTTTCTGAGAGCAGGTGTATTACAGCGGTGAGGTATGAAAAATTGTGTGACAGATATACGTCGAATGGCTATTGTGTGCATTGTGTGACTGGGTATTTCCTCGAGGATGATTTGTGTCAGCAATGTATGTCATCTTGTGGTATCTGTAGTAATAAATACTATTGTATAACATGTAAAGAAGGCTATTTCATATCGAAATCAGGAGACTGTTTAGAGAACAAATTAGCTGGGAACTGTGCTGTGAACATATCAACATCATTAGGTTGTATCCAGTGTAATCCAGGCAATTACTTGAATGAGAGACGATGTTATCCGTGTAGTGTAGGGTGTGCGACGTGTGATGCGTTCGAGTGTTTTTCGTGTCGTGACAATTTTGTGTATAAAAATGGGAAGTGTCAATCGTATATGTTTATCAAGCATTGTGTGACAACGCAACGGGGGGAGTGTCAACTGTGTTCCTTTTGGTATGCGCCAAATGACAAAGGAACGTATTGTGAGAAGTCACCTGTGTGGTGGGTGATCTTTCTTATTGTAATCTTTTGTCTTGTGATATTAGTTTTTGTATTAACACTGATCATATTCATTGTATACAAAGTCGTATCCAAGTACATTCGTAACAAAAAGCTAGATGGGATTGTCTCTAAAATCACGAATTCGACAATGTTGACATTTGAGTTAATTCAAGGCGTGTATTGCGACGTGAATAAAATCCTCTTTGAAGGGGATACATCGCAGCTTCCCGTCTTCCAAAGTACAATGACCGAATTTGTCATTGGAAATAAAGGGAAACAAACGGTTCGATTACAATTGAAAGGGCAGAAAAACAAATTCCGCTATGAGATCAAAGTCGCCCCACCCGTCGTGATATTAAAAAGAAATGAGGCGTGTCGGTTTACCGTTTTTATCAAGCCGCAGTGTACGTGTAAAATCAATGATAACATAACTATCTATATCAACGATACCAACAAACAAAAGGGTGAAAATGTGAATATCCCGGTAGTTGCGGAGTCTGCGATGTCGTCGTATTTAGACCAAACAGAGATCATAGTCAAGCGTTTGGTAGGGGAGGGGAGTTTTGGTAAAGTGTATTTGGGAGTCTTTAGAGGGACCCAAGTTGCGCTCAAAGTGATGAAACAAATCAACTTAGACCAAGAGACGTTAGACGAGTTCAAAAAGGAGGTTGAGATGTTAAACAAATTTCGATGCGATCAAATCGTCCATTTCTTCGGAAGTGTTCGGATGCCAAGAATCATCGGAATGGTAGTCGAGTATGCTCCTTTTGGGTCGTTAAGAAGTGTCTTTATGAGTACCAAATTCCACGATGTATGTGAGAAGATTAAAGTGAAGTACCTCGTCGATGTCACTAAAGCACTTGTCTACTTACACACAAGTGGTGTTCTTCATCGAGACATTAAACCAGATAATGTCCTCATTTTCGATGTCACAAGCATCATTACTACAAATGCAAAACTATCGGACTTTGGCTCGTCGAGAAATATCAATTTGTTGTTATCTAATATGTCATTCACTAAAGGAGTCGGCACACCAGTTTGTTGAGTACCATTATTATAAGAAGATAACAAAGAAGAAATACTCAGAAATAGGTCTACATGGCACCAGAAATATATAATAAGAACAGGTATAGTGTTGCAGCAGATGTATTTGCTTTGGGAATCACAATATTTGAATGTATGAAATGGGGGGAGGCGTATGACGGCGAGATGTTTACTTTCACGTGGCAAGTCCCCGATTATGTGAACAAAGGAAATCGTCTCCCAAAGCCAGAGAACGTCACCGACGAAATGTACGATATCATCCAGAAGTGTTGGAGTCACGACCCAAAGAAAAGACCAACAGCAAGTGAAGTGTGTAAATCTTTGACGGTGGTTGAACAGAAATTACCAAACCCATAACTCTCATCACAATGAAAGTTGTAAGTATTCTTCGTTTCTATTAATTACGCCACAACGAGAAGTTATAGAGTGCTTTTCTATATACTATACTAAAACCAGAATTAAACTAGTTTATTAATATTTTTTATTGTGGTGAGTTAAAACTTAATGTTATTAGTATATATACTAGTAACAATAAAGTACATAAAGTATATTTTTATAATTCTTTATAATTCTTTATTCCATCTATTACAATAATAATAATTTATAGTTAAATGTATTATAATTTATTAATAAATAGTTTGGGTGAAATAATAGTAATTAATTATTATAGTTTGATACATATTAAAATAAAATACTAATAGTATTAAAAAATAATTAATAAGAAAATAATTATAATTATATCTATAATTCAATCTATTATAGTTGTTTATTTCGAACATTAAAAAACAATTAAAACAAATTACATCTAAATTTTCTTTGTCTTGAAGACTTTGATTTGGTTTCATTTAGCATCTGTACATTTGGGTTGGGAAGATGTGCTCTTATGTCTTGTACCAAAGAAGTGAATGCTTCTTTTACATTTATACCTAGTTTAGCAGATGTCTCGAAAAATAGAGTACCCAAAGATTCTGCTAAAGAAGCTCCTTGTTCGATTGATATTTGTCTTTCTTTAATATGTAAGTCACATTTATTACCACAAAGAACTATTGGAATATGGTCTTTGTTAATATCCTTATTTGCTAGTGTAAATAAACTCTGGTAGATTTTGTTGGCTTCAATGAAGGAGTTCTCAGAAGATATCGAATAAACCACAACAAATCCATCACCAGTTTGCATATATTGATCTCTCAAACTTTTGTACTCATCTTGACCAGCAGTATCGACAACATCAATGAGAATAGATTCGTTTTTTATTATAACACTTGTTCGATAAAAATCTTCGATTGTGGGATCATACACTGCTATAAAAGCTCCCGATATAAATTGAACCGTAATTGCACTCTTTCCAACAGAACCACTCCCTAGCATTACTATCTTATAACAATTCATTTGATATAAAAAGTAAACACCTGAACTTTTTATATAGTAGATTCGATAGAGGATGACGATAATTTGTTGTTTGGTAGTCTTTAACTTTGTTTCTATTTAAAATGTATTATAATTTATTATATTTTTACTACTGAAGTATAATACACTATTCAATGTCACATGCACAAAACAATTACTTCTTTGGACGTTAATTTTATGGACATTTCATTTTTTGACTTCGAAGTCTTGATCGAGTAATAATATTTGAAATGATAAGAGAAGTTATTGTTTGTTTCATTTACTTTTAAGCAAGTCAAAATACACCTATTTTAATGTTTTAAATAAATAGGTGAATTAAAATTGGTTTCATAGGCTTTCACAAATTCATGGAATTTGTAAAATTCGAAATTCTTTCAAAACCCTAAAAATAGACATTTTTTCCATTTTTTTGCTTATGATTCAAATCGTGTTTTGGTTCCAATAAGATAAACAAATTTTAAAAATATTCGATACAAAACAAACCAAAATGTGTAAAATTTTGGGTTTGTTTTTCAAATTTATTAATAAAAAGGTATACTTTTTTAGGTTTCACAAAAGTGAATAAAAAACGCCTTTTTCTTCGTATTATATAAAGAAAAAATAACAACGTGTGCATACGTGCCGAATTATTACAAAAAAGATTATTTTGAATTGCTAAGGGTATAAATAATTTTATCGAACATTCCTTTTTTCAGTCTTATTCTATTTTCAATAACAACAAAAAATTTCTTTACAAATACTATAAATATAAATAATACCTGTTATTTGATAATTGCTGTTTATCTACCAACATTATCTGATTGTTCATTTATTGTTAAAAATACCAAAAATTCATGAAATTGTCAAATTAATTGAAATTTATCCTTTGCAATTTTCATCTGTTTATGGTTTTTAGACCAATTTTTCACATTAAACCAATTAAATTTATCATTCTTTATTTTAATGTAATTGACTGACTAAATATGAACTGATTTTTATTTCAAAACCCAATTATAATTATAATTAAGCTCTCTTTTACACCAACACGTTTTAGTGTTCATTTAATTTTCTTTTTAATAAGGACCCATGTCTTTTTTCAATAAGAATGACACTTTTTTGTTTTGAGTTTGTCACATAACCACATTACATGAAGAGTCTGTCTTTTAACCTTGTCCTTTCTTCAAAAGTTGTTCCTTTTGCAAAAAACACACAAAAAATTCTTTAAAAATTGGGAATTAGGTAATAAATCATAAAAACGGTAAAAAAACTGAAACAACAATGTTTTAGTGTTTTGAAAAATTACCTGATATATTCCAGTTATTAATATCTAAAAATTGAAGGACAACGTTAGAGAAAGGACGACGTTTAGAGAATGAATCCAATCACATTTTGTAAATACAATGACTAACCCAACCAACTATTTTTAACAAAAATATTGAATTAATCATCCTATTTTTAATATTAAAATAACATGACCTATTATTTACTGACAATAAACAACGAAAAATATAAATAAAATTGTCTTAATGTGAAAAAAACAAATAAATGTTTAATAATAGAAAAAGTACCTTTTCACACAATTATAATTTACTGTTGCTTCCTTGTTACTGTTTGGTGGTTTCCTTCTATAGAGTCAGTTTTCTCCAAATTGAATTCATTCTTTTCGAAAACCATCACTTTGGCATTTTCCGTCTTTTCTTGATAAAGCCCAACAAGTTCCTTTCCAATCCTCTTGATTTCATCAAACCCAAAAATCAAGTCATTCCCATAGAAAATTGCTGTGATGTATTCCTCTTTGAATTGTACCCTTTTTCCTCCACACACCTTGGTTTCCACAAAGTATCCCATTTCCCTCAAAAAATCGACAAACATGTTAATGGTCTCTGTGAACACGTTAGTATTTCGCCTTCTTCTCGCTGTTTTGAATGAAACGCCTTCCGATATTTCAAACTCGATTCTTTCATCACATCGTTTGTTCACAAACTTCCGGACGTCCACCTTGTCTTCGCCACTCCATATACGTTCGACCAAGAAAAATTGCTCGTAAACGACAGCTTTCTTTTGTGGAATGATCATTTCGATGTTAAAGTGTTTGTTAATTAAATAGAGTAATACAGCTGCTTCATACACTTGGTTGTTTCTCACTTCGATGAACCTTGCTTTCCGTTGGACAAACATAATTTGAATATATTTTGAATAAGAAGTATTCAATGCACTTATTTATATACCACCCATCCTTGTACATTTTTTTCTATTACTAATAATACTTTATTTATTCACAACCCAAAAAAAACTTTTTATGGCATCTATTCGCAATTTTAGAGCTCAAGAGACTCTTCAATATCGACTCGTAAAATTGTCTTCGATCAACTTTGCAACTTATGTCCATTTTCCGAAAAATCCGAACACAAAATACATATTGTATACTTATAATCTCTATTGTTTATTACTTTCTTTATGTTTCAAGTGATTTTTCGGTCTTTTCGACAACTCTTTCGTTTTTTATTCAAAAGTCAATTAGAATTCCATCATCAGCGTTAAAATATCTCGTTTTATAGCAACTCCTCACAAAACATTTCAAAGGGTAGAATTATTTGTCTATTTATATATTATAAATGGATTTCACTGTTTTGGGTTTGTTAACTAAATGCCAAATAATCTGTTAATAAAACAACGGTGTCTACTTGTTTTCTGTCCCCATATCAATCGAACTCTCTTTTTTTATTTTTTGGCTATTCATTTTTGAGGCAGAAAAAAAATGCAACTCCATTTTTGATCCTTTATATTACTAATTAATAACAATACAATTAAACCCAACATTTCTTTCTCTTGATACTTTACTTTGTATTTTTGGAAAAATTAACTAAAAACATATTTCTATTTTAAGAATACTATCTGCAAAAACTTTATTGAATTATATACTTTCTTAAAATAGTGCTTTATAACTCTAATCATAATATTTTCGATTATAAATTATAAATTAATTATAATTCATTTATTATACTTGTCATTTTTTAATAATTTATTTGTTATTAATAAATGTATTTATCATTTTTTTTAATAAAATAGTAAAAAATATTATATTTTTATTCAACTGAAACTAGACACATATAATATCTTTTCTTATTTATTTGTTAAAATACATCCCCATTTTTTGAAATAATTTCAATTTCTTTCTCATTTAAACAAAATATTTATTTATATCTTATTTATCTCGAAATATATTTTCAGTTCGAGTTTGAGTTTTTATTCCATTAAACACTTTTTTTATATAATAAAAAAAATTTTATTAATAAATTATTTTAATTGTAAATTAATTTCATTTTAGATTAATTAATTAAAACTATATTATTACTAAAATTTACAATTAATTTTTATTATCACTTTTTGAAATAATCAAATAAGTAAACATCATATAAGAAGTTAAAACAAAACTTTAACTTTTGAAGTCAAAAAACAAAACAAAAAAGTGATTAAAAATTCAAATGTAATACCATTGAAAAACTATAATTAAACCAAAACTAATAGTAAAAAACATACAAGAACTTGAAAATGATGATTGGGCAAGACTGGAACGAAGAAACATTTAAGGCACGATTAAAAGAGTGGACTCAGCTCGAACATTTCAACACCCTTTATGACAGCGATGTCGACGGGTGGGAGTACTCGAACTTGGTGAGTATTTTAAACAAAAAGACGAACACAATGGCGCTGTGCTTTTCTTCAAGCGGACTTGTGTTTGGGTCTTTTCTGCGGAATCCGATTATTCCACAGTTCAGAACTATCGACCCAAACTTCTTCATATTCTTCCTCAAGACTCCCTCTGGACTTCCTGTGCCTGCAAAATTCCAGAGAACTCATATCGACTTCAAGGACGAACCGTGCGAAGAGTCATTTGTTCTTGGGGGTCATTATTTCTTCGACTTCTTTTCAATTAGGCTGGAGTATGAATCGGTGAAGAACCACCAACAGAACAACTTAAGATTTAATGAGTACACCTATAAGTTTTTCCAAGGATTCTCGACGGACTACTTCGGTGTCAAATTGGGGCAATACGTCAACGTTGTTAGATTTATATTTCTTCAGTGGTATTAATGTGCGGATTAGTTGTTTTTAATAATTTATTTGTTCTAATTCAAATTCGATATGAAAGTATTCATATTTTGCATTACCACTTACCAAAAAACATACGAGTTTTTCTTCAACTTTTTTATCATTGAATAGTTTTCATTATACTATTTTAATTAATAAAATTGTTATAATTTAATTCATGGAACTTATCAAATTATAATTATAACTATAATTAACAAGTTATATTCTATTTTATATATTTGAAGACAAAAAAGTAATGCAAAAAATTGGCTTATTTCCTTTGAAAAGAGCTTTTTAATTTGGTGTTATGCCTTCTTCAGCAATTTCCTGAACATCATCCTCGGACCCCGTCTTCTGCAAATCTTTTGTTTCGGAAACAGTTTTATCATCCTCGGTCTGCTCTATATTTTGATTTGCATCACTGACTTGTGTTGGGTCAGGTGAACCCGATGCCTCTTTTTGAACAATATTAGTGTCTTCTCGTTGTTCAACATTTTGATCTGTTTCAGTTCCAATTGTTATGTTCGATACACCCGCTACTTCTTGATGCGAAATGTTATCATCTTCTTCTTTCTGTATGTTTTGATCCAACTCAGTGATTGTGTTGGATGTTCTCAATACCTCCTGTTGAGCAAGGCATTGTTCCTTTTGATTCAACTGTAATTCTTTCTCTGCAAGTTGTTTCTCTTGATTATCAAGTTCCAAGTTTCTCTGTTTTAATAATTCCTTATTCTTTTCAAGTTCTTGAGATTGCTCAGTCAATTGCAGTTTTAATTGTTCAAGACTTTTATTGTCTTCTTCGACTTTTTTGGCTTTGCCTTCCAATTCTTTTTGTATATTTTCCATCTCCTCTTTCTTCTCCTCTAAACTCTGCACGTCCTTTTTCAGTGCAACAAATTCTGACTCCGCCTCTTCTTTCTCTTTTTCTCGTTGCATAATGACGACTTCTCTCTCTCTAATAAGTTGCGTCTTTTTCCACAGATCGATTTGTGTCTTTCCATTCATTTTGTTTTCTTCTATTAGTTTCTTTTCAATCACATTTAAGCGCTTTCTCTGCTCTTCAAGTTCTTGAGTTACATTTTTATTGATTTGTTCTCTTGTCTCGAGAGTTTTAATCCGTGTTTCCATTATATTTTCTTGTTGTAACAATAAGTTCTTTCGCGTTAACAATTGTTCTTGGAATTGTGCCAATTCTGTTTCGCTGTTTTTTATATCTTCTTTTAATCTTTCATATTGATTGAACATGCCATTCATTTGTTGAGTGTTTGCTTCACAACGTTTCTCCTCTTCATGGAGTTCAGTTTCTCGAGCCATCAATTCCTTCTTCTGTTTTAAATTAGTGTTAAATTCCCTCTTTGCTTGATCACTAAGTTCTTGGACTCGTTTTTCCCTTTCTGGCAGATCCCCCTCCAACTTCTTTGCCGCTTCGAGTTTTTCGTTCGCCGCTTGTTGGCACTCCACCGCCAATTTAATAAATTGGTCGACTTTGTCTTGCACTTCTTTTTCAAGTTTGTTTGAGTATTTCTTTTGTTCATCTAAAAGGTTTTCAAAAATGGTGATAAACTCTTTTGGGTCATTATTGACTACTTGGATTTGTGGTGCTTGAAGATTCTTAATTGATTGAATGTCATTCACCAAGTAGCACTCCCCTATTGTCAACTCATTCTCTACAAACCCTAATTTGTCCCCAAATCGTATAACATTCGTCGTCATCGGTGGAGTCGCGTAATTTTTCCCATTTAAATGAGTGAACACTGTAATGTCTTTCACACAGATGTACAAATCGTTCTTCACACGCCAACAAAACTTGTGTGGCAATATTTTGACATGAAACTTTCGATCAGCAACACAAACTTCTTCGTTGTCTAATACACTTGGTCGGATCACTACTTTCTGTTCAAACTTGACACCACCAAACCTTCGCCGGATGATTCTCTCGCATCCCAAATAAGACTCGTCTAATGTGATCCATATCAAATCGTCGTTTTTGAGAGTACTTATATAGTTATTAGAATCATCTCTAATTTTTTGCAACGAATCATTGATTCCCTTTTCATAATTTAATAATTTATGTTGAGTAACTATTTCATTGTTAATTGCTGTGTCTTTTTGAGTTCTTAGCTTATTCATTTTCTTTTCATTTTCTTGATCTTTAGCGTCTTGTTCCTTTTTAATGTTATACAAAATTTCTTCCTTCAGTAGCTTCGACATTGAAGATAAAAAAATTGAAACAAGCTGTTCCTTTTCTGGTTTAAAATTCCTGGTTTGCTCTTCTATTGGTTTGCTCATATTGTCTTTCACTTTTCAGTTCATTTTATTGTAATTTTTTCACTCCACTTCATTTGAATGATTTTAAGATCATTCATTTAATCATTAATTTGAGTATTAATTCTGTTAACTTAATTAATAGTTTTAATAGTAAAAATAAACTATAACGCTTATTAAAAGCCATTTCAATGATATTCTTATTAAACACTCCCTTCTACAACACTTCTTTCGATAATCGTTCAACTAGCCAACAGTTCCAATCCTTCAGTGGTATGTTCTTCATTTTACATTCTTCATACAACATTGTATTATCTATTTTTAGTACTTCCTTTGGTAACACAATTTTGATGGCTAATGCAAGTCCATTAAAGACAACCTTCTTATCTTCTTCATCTTCGACAGAACACTTCTTTAATTTGTCTAACACACCGACTAACTGTTCTTTCTCACTCTTTAATTTCAAACTCTCTCGTTCGTATTCATTAATTTTCTTCTGCAATTTGTCGTTCGCGTTCTTCTGAAATCCTACTTTCATCTCTATCATTTTGACACTCTCAACTTGCACACGTAATTCGTCTTTTGCTTCAATTGTTTCCTTTTCAAATTGTTTCACACGTTCGTCTTTGCCAGACGACTCCAATCGATACTTTTCCACCTCTTTCTTTAAGGCTTCGATGTGTTTGTCGCTTTCCTCTTTCATTTCTGCAAGCTCCTTCTCTTTCTTTTCAAGCTGACTGAGTGCTTTCTGAACGTCTTTCTTGACCTCCACAACTTCATTTTGTTTTTCTGTGAGTTGTGATTTTAATACTCCATTCGACTGTTCACTCGCCTCGCACTTCTGAACACTTTCTAAAAGACTTTGCTTCATGTTCTTCATCTCAGATTCATTGTTTTTCTTGAGACTCTCCAATTGAGAAGTTAGAGCTAGAATCTGCGTGTTGAGTCCACTCCGCTCGACTGCAGTCTTTTCAGTCTCCTCTCGGACTTTTTCTATTTCTTTTTCCTTTCTCTTGATCTCCAAGACTTTGTTCTCAAGTTCGGTATTCAAGTCCTTTTCTTTCTGCTCCTTCTCGTTCTTAATCATTTCAATCATTCGCACCTTCATGGCAACTTCTTTCTGCAACGCATTGCGCTCTTCGACTAACTCTTCTGTTCTACGCTCAACTCTTTCAAGCTAATTGTCTTCTCCTTCACTTCATTTCCTAATGTGTCAATCTCATCTTCTCTCTTTTTCTTCATGCTTTCACACTCTTCTTTTAACACACGAAGCTCGTCGTTCTTCTTTCTTTCGCTCAGAAGTTGGTCGTTGATTAAACTGCACATTTTCTGTGACTCGGTCAGTTGTTTAATCGCTTCAGAAGTCTTCGCTTGTTCGATTTCAACCTGTGCTAAAGCTTCTTTGATTTTAGTAGTTAAGGTATCTCTTTCAATAGAGTCTTTGACACTCTGCGTTTTACTAATTTCAATTTCTTTGGTCAGTTTCTCACATACAAATTTCTGATTTTTTCCCTCCTTTTCAAGACTTTCATTCCGTTTTTTTATATCTTCTATCTCACTCAAAAGTTGATTCTTGTTAGCGATAATCTCGGCATTATCTTTCTTTAATTCATTCGTTGAGGTTTTGAAAAATTCAACCTCTTTCTTCATATTTTCAAGTTCTCCTTGTAAATGAATGTTCGTCGCTTTCTCATTTTGTAAAACTTTTTCTAATTCACTTTCACCACTTTCTTTCATTTTCATGACTTCCATTTGTGATTGCAAAATTTGGTGATGTTTCGCTTCGTCTTTCATTCTCATATTTTCCTCTTCAATTTCTTGAATTTTTTTGTTTGAACCATTTTTGAATTTTTCATAATCTTGTTTAATATGTTCTTCATTCTGTTCGACCACTTTCTTTTCGATCTCAAGTTGTTCAAATTTCTTTGTTAATTCTTCAATTGTTTTCAAATTCTTTTCCTCTATGTTTTTGTTCTGTGCTTTTTCTTCTTCAAAAGTATTTACTTTGATTATAAACTCTGCCTTTTCTTTTGTCCAACTTTCTCTTTCCAAATTGACGTTTTGCATCACTTTTTTCAAATTATCTTCTGCGCTCTTTTTGATTGTTTCAATCTCGTTTTGTAATTGTTTAATTTTTGATTTATCACTTTCTTCCTGTTGTTTATCATTTTCTGTTTTCTCGTTCTGACTTTTCATCTCTTTTTCGGTGATTTCTTTCATTTTTTTCTCTTTTTCTGTCATCTCCAAAAGTTCATTCTTCAAATCTTTCATCATCTGTTCTTTGACTTCTCCGTCCTCTTTCATATCATCAATAGTTGTTTCCATCTGATCGATCGCGTCGTTCTTCTCTTTAATCCTCATATTCAAGTCCTTCACACTTCTTTCAAACTCCTGAATGATCCCCATCAATGTGTTCTCTCCTTGTAATTTGACTCGCATCTCTCGTTCGGCCTTTTCCGCAGATTCTTTCTTCTCTTTCATCAGCTCTACAGCCTTTTCCAATTCTTCAATTTTAGTGCTGCGGATCTTCACTTCATTTCGTAGTTTCTCGTTCTCCTCCGTTGCGCCAAGATTTTGCGGTTCGGGGGATTTGATTTCCTCTTTGACTAACCCTAGTGCTTCAATTTTGAGGTTCGCTACTTTCTCTCGCGTCATTTTGAGTTCTTGTATGACCGCGTCGTTCGGGGTTTCATCATAAACGTCATCAGACACATCAACCATCTCAAGACCTTCCTCCATGTTCTCTGCATTTGTTTTGATTTTTTTCACTTTATCTGCAATAGACATGTCCGTGTTTTTGTCACAAAGCGCAGTGACAACTTCTAACTCAGAATTTAACAGCATTTGAAGATCTTTTCTTTTTTGTTTGATAGCTTCTCTTCGCCCAGCGTGAATCTTTTCAACAACTTTCATGTCTTGACTACCAAATCGCGTTTCTTTAGTGACAAAATACGACAAGTAAAGTACTAAAGTGTTATCATCAATATCAGAAACATATTGCGGAATAAGTAAAGGTGGTATGTTTAATAGTTCCTTTGCTATGTTCAGACATGTATTACAGTTCTTCACCTTGTCTTTGGTGAACATATTCGCAGTTATTGCATTTGCTCGAAAAGAATTAATAAATCGTGCAAATAGAGTGCCATCACCAAATTCACTTTTCAGGTCAAAAAGGGGGTTCGTTATTTTGAGCACAAAACGGAACCACCTTGAAAAGTCGATGATTCGTACTGGGACGTCATTGAGTCTGTACCGATACATAATATAAAAGAGTAGAGTGATCGTTGGTTTAAATTCTCCACGTAAGACCTCTTCAACAGACGTTGTCACTTTAATTTTTTCACCTTTCAAAAAATCAACAATAGTGTTCATATTCTTCTCACGGTCTTGTTGTGTAAGAGGTGTCTTAATGATCCCTTCAATTTTTTTACAACTTTCAATCTCTAAATATCGGGATAATATAACGCCGTCCTGTAAGTCCTTTGTTAAATCCGTTACAATTGGCTTTTCGTAATTAATTGTGAAGTTTATTATTTCAGTGTAAGCACGTTGTTGTTGGATGTCGGATGTTTTCGATTTGGACATCAACAAAATTGGATTATTAAGTTCAATTCGTTGTTTACATACTTTTTCATATAACGAGAATTTTCTATTGAATCAAAAGTGTTATATTTGTATTATATTAATTCAATTAATATAATAGTACTATTCTTACCAATTGAATTATTTTTAAAGAATCAAAACTATACAAGAACTATAAAATTGGTAAGAAGTAAGTAAACTATTTAATTGTGTTTGTGTCAAAAATAGAATTGGATCATAACAAAGGGTGTTATTATTGAATAATCCATTTTACAAGTATAATAACGTGAAAGTGATAGATAGAAGACATGAACGACGTTAAAGGCGTTGTTTATAACTTATTAACAACATAAACGAAGATGAAATTATATAAAGACATTCTCTCATTGTATATGACTTCATTTGCCCAACATTTTTGTAGAGTCTATTTGATGTTAAAATCTGACATAAATTTTTATCTTCAACATTTTCAATAAAAATATTTCTATAAAAAGAAGTTGAGAGAATTTGATACTCAAGAAATGGAGACCAAGCAAGAAGTTCCGATTGTTGAATGTATTAAAGCTGAAGAAGTACCAAAATGTGATTGTGAAGTAGCAGTCACACAAGAAGAACCTGTTCTAGTAATAGGAGGGGAGACTGAAACAAAGGCACAAGACACCACATCTTTGATGGATAAATTCAAAGGATGGGTGTACAACATTACCAACACTATTCCAGAAATTAAAGTTGGGTCCCAAGCACTTCCCATAAAGGCAGAGTCTTATTTCAACGGTGAAATCGCTGAATATGAAATGACTCAAACTGATAAATATCACATTCTAGTTTTCTATTGTAAAGACTTCTCTACTGTCTGTCCAAAAGAATTACAAGAATTCAACGAGAGATTTGAAGACTTCTCCCTCCATGGAGCTGAGATTGTTGGAATATCTGTCGATGACATTCAGACGCACAAGAGAGTCTGTGAGTCAAAACCAGAAGAGGGAGGAATTGGAATGTTAAAGTATCCACTTGTTTCTGATATTTCTAAGACAATCAGTACTGACTATGGTCTTTTAAGCTTTACTGGATTATCAAACAGAGCAACAGTAATTATAGATCCTCAAGGAACAGTCAGATCAGTTAAAGTCCACTCCCTCCTTTTCGCTCGAAACGTTCAAGAAATTTTGGAGGAATTCAGAGCAATAGTAATGAAAGATGATATAAAGAAAAACATTGATTTGAACTACTGAAGTAATTGAATTACTTGAAAAATTATTTGGTTGTCTTGTTCATTTTTTTTCTTGACATTTATTGAGTAATTTTTAACGGAATCTATTTTTCATTTTTTCATTTGTATTTTTATTAGATTGTTTACTTTAAATACTGATATCATTATATATGTGATATTAGTCAAAAAGTGTATAAAAAACCTTTAATAGAATAGTAAAACCTTACTAAAAAAATCAATCACTAAGTCAATCAAATTTTAGAATGAATCCCCATTAAAACTAGTAGTAAGACTCTGCAAAATTTTATTATCAATTTTGTTTCTGCAAAGTCTGTTGTATAATGGATGTTGCAAAATCTTGTCCCAGCCGAACCGATCTTCTTCATTGACTTC